ATAGGCGACTTATGGATCCTTTTATTGCTGGTTCAATGATTGTTTTTCATTTTTTAAGACTTGAGTAATACTAATGATTCAGAGAGATATGATCAATCAGTCAACAATAAAATATCTTCATTAATGTTCAATAATGGTCAAATCCACTTTTATTTTGTGATTTAAGAATAATGTCTATTGACTTGGGTCACGAAGGTTTGTAACTTTAAAAATATGGGTCCCCAGAAAAAAAGAAAAAAAAAGTTTGGGAAACACAGTTCTAGACTATAGACAGGCACCACATGCTGAAGCAGTTGTACTGGTTTGAATTCCCCTGGGTGTCCTTGTAGCCTTTTGTATGTTCACCTTTGCTCCGAGCTGCTTTGAAAGAAGATTTTTCTGCTAACACTGTGCGCCCTCCTGCCCCCTGCTCAGTCTCTGCTCATTCAATACCTCACGATGACATGTTTTATGTTTAGAACTTGTACAAGTCTGTGCTCTCACCTCCTGGATTCAGTTACTACACCAGCACCCTGCGGGGTTAGGGGCACTGGGCATGAAACAGTGATTTAGTGTTTAATCAGAAGGAGGTCTACACCCTGCAGGTGTCATTTATTGACAGGGTCCAGAGGAATTTAAGTGTAAATGTTTGTAATGCATGGTTCACAGCGCCACCTGCTGGTAATCGGAAAGACAGCAGAAACAGCATGTCAGGGCCGGTTAGCTCAGTTGGTTAGAGCGTGGTGCTAATAACGCCAAGGTCGCGGGTTCGATCCCCGTACGGGCCACACTTATGCCCTCCACAACACAGGACAAAAGACATTGTTTCTATAAAATCATGACAAATCTCAGTCTTAAATTAAAGCAACACATTTAACATAAGGGTAATTTAACTTTCCAAATCTGGGGGTGAAAGGTTGGCATTCTGAAGACTGTGTCTGTTTTTGCTTAGCTTATTAATCGTGGGCATTAAAAAGACATATTTAAAACATTGTTTGAGCCACTACAGGTGAGAAATGAGACCCTCATGGTCATAAAAGCAGTGGCCCGTACGGGGATCGAACCCGCGACCTTGGCGTTATTAGCACCACGCTCTAACCAACTGAGCTAACCGGCCACACCTGGTTAAAAAAACTAACCAAAGAAAATCTGAGCATGCGCAGAAACTCCCGTAGGCCAGTTGCGTTCTGCCCTCGTGTTCACTGTGGACGACCTATATTCATTTGAAGCTACGTGATACATTTTGTTTAGTTTAATTTAGGGCACCGTCTTCAACAGCCTGTTGCTCTCATAACAGTAAACTGACTCTAGTAGGCTGTTTAAGCTCATTAGGTTAGGTTATTTGAGTTGATGCCATAGACTAACCAACCTGTTTTCCATCGTTGCCAACTGTCCACTGCCGTGCCATGCTGCTGTCTCATACAGTAGACCTAGCGCTGGCAGGTGCTTTTGCCCACAGTGTAAATATAGTCCGCGGGGTCAGAAGGAGCGCTTGGACCCGGGGTCGTGTTGCTTCTCACGGTGACACGTTTGGAGCGCTGCCTTGAATTTTGGCCAACGCCGCTCATGCGCGCGCACGTGAGCTAGGCCCATACACGGAGAGCGCGTGCCTGTAACATGTTTGGCAACACCCCAGCGCGCGCTTATAGACGCACATGCACAGACAGGCGAGAGGAGCTGCGACATGCGACTCTGGAATGTCCAGCAAGAAAATAGAAACGATATTAGGAAACCAAATGTACTTTAAACACGTGTTGGTAACGATAGCCTATTCTATAGGCCTATGTACCACATTCAAATTTAATAATAGCCTGATAATGTGTAGGTGCGAAGGTCTATTATACATATAAATACACTATCAAAAAACGGCAATGTCAAATAGGCACTCTCTTTGATTCGTTTGCACATAGCGTACGTGTGCGCTGATATCAATACGACTATATATATTTTATTCCAACCCTGAACCAGGACACGCAACTGGCAACGACCTGTAGTTATTTGCTATTTGTGGTATAACCAAGTACATCTTCTATAGGCTAAATATGTAGAACCAGTAGAGCCAATAAGGCAGCTGTTCTATTGGAACTGGGTCTATATGGAGTCAAGTGCAAGCACCGTGTGACTTCATTCCTCTTCACTCCGGTACGAGTCGAGAGAGAGAGAGAGAGAGAGAGAGAGAGAGAGAGATGCTGAATACAAGTGATAGATGAAACCGTCATTAACATAAAGACTGTGGCCCGTACGGGGATCGAACCCGCGACCTTGGCGTTATTAGCACCACGCTCTAACCAACTGAGCTAACCGGCCACGATTTGCTTTGATCTAACTATATGAAACGGAGCATAGATATGGGTACCTCGCATTATCTATAATGCATAATGCAGTGTACCCATAAAAGTTTCTGTGTCTATACGTGGTGTAAAACTCTGGAACAGTCTGGATACACATCTCAAGCAACACCAACATATCCACAAATTCAAGTTCTTATATAAACATATGGTCTGGTCACAGTATATGGAGAGTGTGTCATAATATTAGAACAATACTTCTGTCTGTATCGTTGGTTTGTTTGCTGTTTTTTTTTTTTTTAACCATTGCTGGTATGTGCTGTCCGTCACCTTACTTATCTGTATCTGATGTTTCTTACCATTGTCTGTATCCTTAACATTACCATTGTTTGTACGCTTATGTTATACTACCAAGCTATAACAGTTACTCTTTGTCTTGTAAATAGATCATATAGTTTAATTCAAAATGTCAGAAAAACACAAAAGAAAGCTCATTGTGTTAGATTAGAAGAGTGGGGGTGGGATTAAGTAAATTTTCTTCTTCCCACTCCTTTTTGAGCAAAATTTTTTTGTTGTGGTAATTTTTTTTTCTATTATGATTTCACTTATGTTATATGTTCCATTGTATTATAATGTACATTTTTACTTGCCCAAAATAAATACATAAAATAAAATAAAAAATAAAAAAATGATACTTTGTTCCTGGATGGAAAAATGTTCTTTGCATTTGACCCGTGTCTGAGCAGTAGGAGCAACAGTGCGCCACCAATCCACCCATGGGACTAATTTCCGGATTGTGAGCTAGTTTTATTGCACATGTTTTGTTTGATTTGATGCAAGCTTCATCTCTTAACCATTGCAAAAAGAATACAAAGTAGCCTAATTTAATCTTCTGAACAAGTGCCAGTTTGAAGAATACAGAAGATTCAAAACACTTAAATTTAGCTGTCAGCCAATTGTTCCCTGTAACAAACCATGTCACGAAGCCATTGAAGTCCCCAGTCTGTAAAAGAATGTATAATTTCACAGTAAACGGACTGAAATGTTTGTCACTTGGTTTATGTGTGGAGCTGCTCCGTGGATCAAAGTGGTTCAATTCAAATCATAACAGGATGCAGCAGAGACGCACACAGTGAAACCACATAAGACTGCTCCTTTGTAACGCTCCGAGCACAGATGGAGGCCAGATTACTCCAGAACGCACCGCAATGGAATTCAAACACTGGAAACAACTGATTTATTGTAATTAAATCAGTGCTTAAAAGGCAGAAAAATAAGTTACGATTGTGAATGGAGTAATTTAGAAAGAGCTGAAAAAATTAGGAATGGTCTGTTTTGTTGAACCGATAGTTTGTCTTTGACGATTTGTCTTGCTTTTGTGTATCCCGATATTTGCTGATACCAGTATTAAACTTTTAAAATTGATGGCAAAGATGAAATTCATGGGAGGTTACAGGGAAGTTTATAAATGTACTTTTCGCTTTTGTAAAAATAATAACATGTATTTATCTGGGATGTAAATTCATAATTTCAATACAAAGATAAACGAGGACTTACACAACGGTGCCCACACAGAAAAAAATATCTGTGCCAAATATGGGCTAAATTATTCAAAATCAGTCCGACACGAACATCTGGATAAATCCTCTGAGTGCAAAGACATCGCTGATAACTTATAAACCATCCTTAAAAAATTTCAACAAACGAATTTTTTTTGTCCCAGGTGGGGAATTTATCTGCTGTATTTGACCCATCCTTCAATAAAACTGATATCCTGATTCATCAGCCGGTTTCACTTTGTTTCACTTCGTAAAAAACGTTTGACCTCGTAGCTTTGGAATTAATTCGCTCAAAGGTAGGCGGGTACTTTTAGTCATTTAACCAATCACTGCTATTTGTTCGTATGTAATGTGCTGCTAACGGGGCTAACTGGTACATTAAGATTTTCCCAAATCCCGTAGGAAAAAGGACAATAACGTCTTTCCCCTTGATAAAATTCACCCAACATTCTCTTTATTCCGGCTTTAAATCCTCGATCTTGGGAATCATTACCAATACAGAATATATGGCTCTTCGCTAATTGGCTGGTGCTCGAACTTGCTCTTCCTGGTTTTTACGAACTGTCCACTGTATTCCGATTCCTGCCCTAATTGCTGGAGAGAAATGAAACTGAGCTGAGGCACTAGGTGGCACCAGCCTGGCTATAAAACTGGGGACATTGGGGACAAATTGCGACAAACATTATACCCAAATCCTAATTCATGCTAAAAGTAATAATAACTAAAACTAGAAAATAATTACAGCAGGTATCAATACTAAAGACAACATGTGGTATCGAGTATCAAGCCTTTCCCTTAATATTGCAATCCGTTTCCGTGACAACACATTAGAGATGGTACAAGATCTCGTGCCACAAGATTCTGTGAGACAAAATCGCCACAAGATCATGCACACGTGAGAAAAATGATCTCATGATATTTTTTCCAAGTGTTTACAAGTGGATTGGACAAAAAAAATTTACATGTTGGTGAGTAACATCTGTTTAACAATATGAAATCAAATAAATAAAAAAATGTGAAGCCAAAATTGGAAACTGAATTGTGAAATTTATGTATTAGGAAATTGTTAAAATCTCGTTTTGTCTCGTTCTCGTGGACCCAATCTCGTCTTGTCTTGTGGAAATTGTGTCTCGTCCCAATACTCAAAAAAACTATAGCATCGTGAAACAAACAATTTATATATTAGAAACAGCAAAATATTTATTCATCATTCAAAACAGAAATGTCAAAAATGAGGTCTGACAATAGCAGATGCATGCAGGCTCAGAAATTTTTTTTACAAAATTCACTCAACGTCTAAGTGCTTGCTCAAGAGTGAACCTCAGCATCAGAGTATGTATTACTTATCATGGGGACAATAAAAACATTTGGTACTTTAAACTCAGATCTAGACGTGAACAAGCTGAAAGTGAATTAACAATATATTACAATTGCAAGAGAAAGAAGGTCTTGGAGTTCGCAACCGACATGCAAAACTGACAGGCTGACTGGTGTAATTTTGGTTAATAATCCTGGTTGAGAAAAGTTCGAACTGGGCTGAAGATGGTGGCAGTGGTCTATGGGGATTTGATGGTTTATCAGTTCTCCAGGAAAGCCACGTAGTCAGTGAGTCTGGCCAACTGCTGCTCATTTGGAACGAGGGACACTGGGGGAGGATCTGTGGAGAGAGAGAAAAGAGGAGACATTTATTTATAAAGAACAGTGTAAATCAAACTGCAATATTGTCGGACTCTTAGAAGAAATGAACAATGCATGAGAGAGTGGGAGAGATAAGTGAGAGCAAGAGATAGAGAGAAAAGAGAATGGGTTATACGCAAATAAACTTAGAAAACTACATTTAGTACTTAAAATAAACAGACAAAATAGAAAGTTAGGAGAGAAACGAGAGTTAGGGGTAGAATGAGAATGACAAAGCGACAGGGAATGCGAGGGAAAGAAAGAGTAAAAGAGGGGGCGTGAGAGAGATGGATGGAGAGAAAGGAGGTAGAGAGGTTAAAGGGGAAGTTGAGTCAGAGGGAGATTCCTGATCGGCCCAAAAGCTATCAAATTATTCACATCTGTTCAGACCTCGTGATCCACGGTCTGGCCAAGTCCGTCCACATGTATATTTTTTTTGGATACATTACCACTGACCCGGTCCACTGTCAATAATAATCTTTTGAAAACTTATTCTAGCTGGCTTTTAAAGAGTAGAAGGTTATCTTGCATTTTCAGAACATTCGCATCAAGACACATTTTGATGATAAAAACATAAGACCCTGGTATGGAATGGAATAGAGAAAGTGTATTGGTTCAAATCCAGATATGTTACTTGTTCTGGTAGCAATTCATTTGTTGGAAATATAATCTTAAATCTGCTTTTAAAGGCACTGTACCAGATTTTTTTTACCCATGTAGCTGAGCAAACCTTGTCTTGCTCCAGTACATTGTAGGGGTGTATGGTACATGTATTTGTGTCGAACCATTTCAGTACGGGACGTTCAGTTAGGTGCAGGGCTGTGCCCGAGTGAATTCGCACAATTTGTGTGTGTTTACATTCTTCCACTACATGTGCAGCTACACAAAAGGCTCGGCTCTTTAATATTCATGAGGGAACTCGTCCATGATTGGAGTGGCAGGATTTCCTGCAGTGCTTCGACCACGTCGAAGCGCATGTCCACGTCCCTCCGGACCAAGTGAATCCTCACAAAACTACAGTCGTGGACAAGTTGTTTTTTTCTGGTCAAAAATATGAAGATTGAGTAGAACTTTATCCTGGAACTATTAATGCTGTGCTTTACTTTTTGAAAAGTTTTGTTTACTTATTTTTTATGATATTTCATACATTTGTTGCTCATTTGAGAATATTTGATTAAACCCATTAGTATTACCAAGCAGCAGTTTGCATTTATTTTATTTTCCTGTTTGTATAATGTTAAAACAAATATTTGGTTTAATAAACACACAAATAAACAACAAGCAAATGGTTTTGCATTTTGTTCCCATACTGTACCGAAAATGAAATGAACCATGACCTCAAAACCGAGGTACGTACCGAACTGTGATTTTTGTGTACCATTACACCCTTAGTATATTGTATAAGCGGCTGGTACAGAGCAGATTATTACATTTCCAGATTTTAACCCCAAAGAATTAAGTTGTGTTATTACTTCAGCAAAATACATGAATGCAGATTGGAAAGAGCATCAGTTCATTGGTAAGTAAACAATGTTCTCTTATTTTAGAAACGTGTGCTGTTTTGTAGAACATTTGTAGAATGTCTCCAGGTGTTTCTAGTTTCTATCTAAAACAGCATTTTCATGAGTACAAATGACAAATCAGTGGTTTTCATTGAGTGGAAATGTCATTAATTACTAGAGTCCATATGTTTTAAGTCAAGCATCAGCACATCTCCAACTCATTATAAACAACCGGACACAGGAAAGGCCAGGTTCATCATAACTTTGTATTAGGGCTCTCCCAGATAACAGCGGAATTTGAGTTTTGAAGATAAGCCAAATTAAAGGCCAGGTCCATCGTCTATAAGGAATGTCAAGTTTATTTGGTTATTAGACTATTTAGGTTATAATTTAAAAATGCAAAAACTGCTACTGCTCATAATAATCTACCAATTTTTTTCAGAAAGAAGAAACAATTAACAACTTAAATATATCTAATGAATAGTGAAAATCGTATATGTTATATTTTGAATGGTAAAAGTGCCTTTAACCAGCTCTTTGTGTACATTAATTTCATACAGACCACAGTCCATTTTTGTGTGTGCAAAACTTGAACCTCAAAATCAGCCACAGGCAAGTTTAGCACATTTCTCATGGACTGCAAAAAGATCATCTAATTATTATCAGAAACATAAAAAAAACCCAGTATAAATATTTGTCAATATTGCCTAAGTCTACTTTGCATTATTAATAATTTCCCTTATAAAATCCCTGATCCCTGGTGCAGAGGGTGGAGAGGGGAGGGGGCAGAGCTGGGCAAGACATGTGGAGCCCAGATGGTTTTAAAAGAGACATTTCATGATTACAAAGAGGACAGTATACAGCCTCTTAAACAAAGAACTAAATCAAGTTCTGTCCTATACGTTTGGACAGGATGGAGCAATTAAGATCAATTATTTGTGATGGATACAACTAATATTGCGTTTGTGCTTTCAAGTTTTAAAGTGAGAAACTAGAGGAGACGAGACCGGCTTTGTAAATATTGGATGGTTTGACAGGAAAAGGTTGAGTGGGGCAACAGTGCCACCTACCTGGCTTTTTGGGCATCACCATCCTTGTGGCCGGGTCAGCCTGCCAGCCCTGGCTAACAACACCTGTGGAAGACAAATGAAAACGTTTTGCCAATTTACATCTAGAAAATGTATACTTTGCTGCTGATGTCCTCAAAATCCTTTGGGGGTGTGATGCTAACTGTAGGCACTGCTCTGTCTGAAGCTTTGTTACTCAAGAGTCTTTATCTGTTTTTAACACAGTCTGACCATAAAGAACTGTCTTGGTTGGAACTAATCCATCTTGTGTTTTTTCTTGCATTTCTAGACAATCTAAAACCTTTTTGGTAGTGTTTAGTCATGTGTGCATTGTGCCACCATGGTAACTGCTGAACATTCCTCCATAGAAAATACAAGAAATACACCCCCAGCACGATGCCATTGCAAAGTATCAATAGAAATACAGTTTTATTTTGGTTCAAATATCATAAAATGAGAATGAGGGCACTCCAACAGAATGTAATATTTGATTGTGTTATTAGAGTAATTGTTTACTACCTGAATTGTGAACCATTTATGCAATGGAGTAAAACACAGAATTTGATGTGTTTATGAAAGCTAGAACTTTCACAATTAAAAATGTAAATAATTTATACATTTTTCTTTGGTCTTTCACTGTCTTAGCTGATTTGAACATTTTATCATCAGCTGTCCAGTGATACGCATCTAGATTTGGCATGGGTTTTATGCCAGATGCCTTCCCTGATGCATCTAATTTCAACATTTACTCAAGAATGGCTGTTTGTGACAGCATAACACTATATTCATATTCATAATTTGTACTGTATATTTTTAACCATACCTTTTACTGCCTCTTCCACAGAGTAGCCCACAAATGCTGCAAAGTCTTCTGCGGAGATGGACGTGTAGGCCTGGGCCACTAAACTGTACGCTCTTTGCCTTGTGCTTTCTGTAAAGGCAAACCAAACACATCAATATAAACATGATCATACTCAGTGTTTCCAATAGAGTAGAATATAATAGATTTATTTAATAACATTTTGTGGAGTAAAAATGTCACTTATTGCCACAGTTTCATCTGCATTTGACCCATCCTTCAGTGTGTATGAGGTTAATCTGTCAACAAATTTTGCTTAAAGTGCTGTCTGCTGTTTCACCAATTTATTCTTTGACTTTAGACTATGGGTAAAAATTATGAAGAGAAACTTACGGTAAACAATTTTGAAGAAAAGATCTATCCGCATTGACTATGAACTGACTATTACAATTTAAGTAGGTTAACTATGATGAGATATTAATTGTCTGCAGAGGGCACTATATTACATAAAAAGATGAAACCTGTACAATGTTGAAATATAGAAACCATTCAAGTTGTGATTTTGGTACAACTGCGATTAGTCTTGAAGTGCTACCAGAAATATAAACACAGTATACTGTACATGTGTTTGTGCTACTCAGTTCATAGAAAGACAGCGTGTTAGCCAACATGTCAGCATGCTCTTATGTAACAGAGACATGAGGTTATCATCTTAAGTTTCTTGTAAACAACAAATTAGCTGCAGCTTTGGGGGTTCTGCCGATGTAATTCATTTGGGGAGACAACCAGCGCTTCTGAGGTTAGCCTTGGACTCTACTTCCTGATCATTTCTCACAAGTGTTTTGGTTCAAATCGAAAACATCTGCCAGGACTACTTTTGATGTCGATCTAATTTTCCATACTTGTTTGATAATGGTAATGTGTGCATTTGTATTGTAGACAAAGTTAGTCCCTTTAACCACTGAGATCATGGGAACTGGTCAGGTTTTAAAGTGAGATGAAGCTGGTTGTGTAAAACTAATTTAAATGACTTTTAACATCTGGGTTTGTTTTGCTTAATGGCATGTTCTCTGCTATGGAGGATCTTCAAATTACTAGAAACCCTATAGTTTAAAGTTGACGTGCGTATGACAAGCTTTGATGATTCTCTAATTTTCACTTCAAGTGGGTGGGATGTTGTAAATATAAATGTTTTACACTAATCAAGAAGAAATTTGTACAGAAAAGTTGAAAACTGTCTTGAAAATTGCAGTGAAGTGAAGAGTTCTATTTTAAAGAGTTCACATTAGGGAAAATAATCAAAAGTTCAGCCCAATTTACATGTATGAAACACATTTTTCCAACACTTTAAACATGGAATAAAGGCGTTTTCTTATTTTTTTTATTTGTCAAATGATAATCTCTGTGTGCATTAGAGGAGTTTTGATTTATGTTTAATATCTCTGTAATGACTGGGCCGGTCCACATGAAAAAAAAAAAAAAAAAAAAAAAAATGGCACAAAGTTCAACATCTTCCCTGTAAGTAGAAATAAACAAAATGGAAATGATTTTTTCATAATAGCCTCCAAAAGTGGTGCCATTATTCAGCTCTGAAGATATGATTGTTGTCAGTTGAAAGAACTTCAAGCTGTGAGATCAGTACGGCAGGTGTGTGGACTCAATCCCTTGGAAATTATGCTAAGGTTCCATGTTTGTGAATTTCTGTTTTTGGGTGTCTTTCAAAAACAGTACACAGGCCCTTGTCCGCCACCTGTGATTATGACATCAGATTCTAAAACATGAACACAACTAACTGTGCCCAATGAGCTCAGTCCAATAGTTTTCCAGAATGACTAAAGCATGCATGATATGGATGACATTAAACAGCAGAGCAGGCCTACCCACTTGTGTGTTTATCAGCACGTCTGGGTCCCTGACATTGGTGCAGTTGCCCTATTTATTTATAATACCAGAGCACAAAGCTGGCAAAAGCAACACATTGGCATATTGCATCCTTATTGCATCACAGAGTCCTCTCCCAATATTAGTATCTGGTATAAACAGGGAGCAAAATGGACTGGATTTGAACAGTATTGCATTACTATTGTGCAAGGTAATACGGGATAATTCCAGTTTTCAAGTTGTGATCACCAGCATGTTGTTACATAACATGACAGATGCATCAATGTAAATATATGGATTTAAAGGTCTTATATTACTTAAAATTGTGCGCTTCAAACAATGTTAAAATGTTGTTACCTCATCAAAAACATATCCAGAGTAGTTCTGTTTCATTCACACATCTTTGAATAATCCAGGTTTATTAGATTGTCTTTTTCTTAAATCTCAAAATCTTCTGTTCCACCTTGTGATGTCATGTATTGGTAGATTAACTTAAAGGGACAGTTCATAATTTTGGAATTATGACCTCATTTCCTAGTTCGCCAGAGTGTTAGAGACGTGTTTAGACACTTTTTAAAATATTCCAGCCAGTCCTTGTATTAGCAGAGGTGGCTGAGGCTAGGCTAGTGCATGTCAATGGCCATAGTTAGCCTGCCACTAAAAACAGAAGCAAATCTATTATTACACCAGACTGTCCATGTGAATGTCTATGTCGATAGAATAATTTTAGAAGTAAAACTAACCTTGCATTTGAAGGATTTATGTCTGAGCAGCAGCAGTGAGTTGTACTTCCTGACAGAAAGCTTGGCAGCGGCAGACTGATATCACCTAGCACCTGTCTTACCGGCAAAGTAAAATTCCGCTGCTGCTGAGAAAATAGTCCCTCAACATGCGACGATTCATGCGATGCAAGGTTAGTTTTGTTTCAAATATTATTCTATCAACACAGGCATTTACAAAGGTAATAATAGATTTGCTTCGTGTGTTTTGTGGAGTGGGTAAGATTGTTTTTAGTGGCAGGATAACTATGGCCATTGACATGCACTAGCCTAGCACCAGCGACCTCTGCAAATGCAAGGACTGGATGGAAGATTTAAAAAAGTGTCTCCACACGTCTCCAACATTCTGGCTCACTAGGAAATGAGGTCCTATATCTAAAATTCTAGACTGTCCCTTTAACAGCTACTTTTTGCTGTAGTTCAGTAGAGATTGGCAAGTCCATGGCTGGAATCATCTAAATGATTCTAGTGAAGGTGTACAGAGTTTAAGAATATAGACAAGCACTTCTGGTATTACAAAAATGACATCACAAGATGGAAAAGAGTATTTTCTGTTAGAGAGAAGTGTCTTGTGTTAAACATGAGTGAATGAAACAAAACAAAACTCCAGGTATGTTTTTAATGAGGAAACAACATAGATCAGAAGATAGTGTTATATAGGCCCTTTAAAAAAATCTGTTGTAGTTGCTTAAATTTGCACTGTTGCCTACTACTTCCCACACTGGCTATATTTGATATGCTACAACAATATCCACAGGTCACAGTCACCCTTGTATCTGCTGACCAGCTGACTCTCCACTGTGAGAAGAGGAGATAACCACTCTGCTGCTCTCACACAACCACTTCAGAGTCTGGCCTTTGGAGGTTTACAGCCTAGCAACGCTCCACTGTGTACCCCCAACAACCAACCCATCCACCACCTGCCCCCCCCGGCCCCCTCTCTCTTACCCCCCTGCCCCCACCTCCTGACCGCTCCACTGTCCAGGGCAGAAAACTGCGCTAACAATAACACGAGCGATGAGAAAAGACAGCTGTGCAGGGGAAGGCCCAGCACAGTCACTACACTGTCACACTAGGCCACAGAGTCTAAACCAGACAGATCTATGGGTTACACTGGTGGTTTGTGAGGCATATTGGGAAATCCAAGGTCAAAAGTACAAGGTTAAAATTACACTGCAAGTAAGATAGATTATCGCTGTCCATCAGCAATCTGACCAAAACTGATAAAACTGCTTGGCTGAAATGTCTTCACTCCAAAACTTTAGTCCAGTTGACAGAATAGATTTGTTTTTATTACTGCAACTAAGGCAAATTCATTAATATTTTTGCATTATTTATTATAAATATAAGTAGAAGTATATGTAATGCAGTACAGAAAGGTACAATAAGATACAGTATATTGTCTTGTCTAGTAGGGATGTAACAATAACCGAAATATCGTGATATTGTATAGTCAAAGTTCTCACAATAATATCATCATCAATAATATCATCACAATATATCAAATTACAAATCTCTTTGCTTAAATTAAGAGTTAGAAGACAGAGGGAACTACAGAAACCATGATCCTTTGCTCCATTTCAGTGCAGACTACCAGAAGAAATAACAGTTCTAAGCACTCTAAGTCTTAGTTTTCTGGATTAAGTCTTGTCAAGGCATTTTAAGAGGAAAAAGTAGTATATTAACAGTTTTGTTAGCCTCCACAAAACATCGCAATAAATATCGTACCGTGAGATGTATAACATGAAAATATATTGTACTGAGATTTGGATATTGTTACATTCCTAATGGTGAGCCTCCCCACAATATCGTGAGCTTTCCCACGATCATGCAGTAAATATCATACAGTGAAGTTCATACTGTGACGATATCATATTGTGAGACTTAAATATCGTTACACCGCTAGTTGGTATAACAAATGACTACTGATGAAATTTTACCCACCAGCTTGATAAGACTATGGACTGAGTTTTTTATACCATTTGTCAGATATTTATTTAGGTGAAAATTATGATCAAAACATTACATTACCTTTATACAGCCTAAATAAAAGAATTGTTGTTGGTTCACAGATACTTGGATTTAAACTTTAAAAATAATTGTCATAAATTGGTTTAGATTTTTAAGCATAACTGATATACCAACGACTCTCGATGAAGAATACTGAAGATAATTACACAAATATGGAGATTAATAATTCCATGCAGATGAGACATAAAATGCCCCACATACAATGAGCAAACTATGTAGGTCAAAGGTTAGACACAATATAAACATGGCTAGAAAACATATAAATAATTTTCACATGAGCTGCTATCTCTATCTGCATGTTGACTTCTTCAGACACCGCAGCTAAAAATACTGTCCATCTGACCTAGCCTGATTTCTTCAAGTGTCATGGTGACCGCCAGCTTGCTGCTCTGCTTATCAAAACAAAATCAATTCAACAAGTTTAGGTTATTACAAATTCATCTGAGTATAAATTGTACATGACTACCATAGCTATTACTGCAATAACAATAGTAAACAATTAAACAGATTACTATCGAGCTTGTGCCACTGCCACTTTTCCCTCAGATATCTGCTGAAACATTAGGAAATTTAGAAAAATTGTCACTTATATCCCCATTTTTTGAAGTTTTCAGAAGTATTTTTTTTAATAAATATAGTTAGTTGTCAATGTCAGTCAAGTTCTCAGAGTGTTCTCAGTTTACCTAAAGACTGAATAAATAAAAATGTTTAAGAGCATGTAAGTGAGACATAAGTACAGAATTGTAAAGTATAGGGGGTGTAGGATTATATGATTATCTGAAATTATATGGAACCTTGTAATAAATATAATAACTAAGGCTCACTGTAATGGCCTTCACGAACTAAATAAATCATACAAAAAACAATAAACAATGCAGATACTGGGCTAACCAAGTCTCACATAAACTTTCTCCATGTATCCCACTTAATAAGAGCTCAGTACATTGCTGCTAACTGACTCTCAAATTTCATTTCAAACCAGGTCGCCTGAAGTGTTTGTCGCCAAATGCCAAGGCTCTGTGTATTTTTACCTCGTCTCTTTGACCATTCACAGAGGCACAAGGAGCACTCGTGTGACAACTGCAGCTTCTTCTGAGCTGCGTTACATTTGGAGCTGCTGAGCAAGGCCGCTCTAAGGGAGAAGAGAGAGGGGGAGCAGAAACAGGAGCCCTCTGGCCTTCCATGACAAGTCTATTCCCGGGACGCTATCATTTCGCGCCCCCTCACCTCTTAAAAATAGCCCCCGCTTTTCACCAGCAAAGGCAAAGCAGACAGGACAGAGCAAGGGCTTTTATTTTAAGTGCATCCTATCACCAAGTGAGAGCTGAACCAACTATGGGAGACAAAGAACCCAACTTTGACTGGGACAATAAAACTCAACTCAGGTCACCTTTCATGAGTCTTTATTCCTCCTTCATGACAGTTTCAATTTCATAAAAAAAAAAAACTACAATCAACAGTGAAAAATGCAGCCTCCTTTGGAGGTCCACATATAAACATGTGCAGACATAATTGCAGACATTTAGCTAGCCCTATCTTTATCACACAGCAGCTTTGTCACAAGTACAAAAGTATAAAAAATTAAGAAAGTGTCAGAATGTAACACTTAACTTAAATATTGCACTAATAGAGGCGAGCACACTCCAGTGGCTCGAATCCTCTGAACTGATTATTCCTCAAAATGCAAAATGTCCCTGCCATAAACACTTCTGTAACAAACCTTCAAATAAACATTCAAATATTGTCCTTTACTTCTTAAGTCTATCTCTTTAGTTCAAGTTTTTCATTACTCCTCCTCTTCTTCTTCCTCAGCGTCCTCAAACTCGTCATTGTCAACTCCAAAGTCCATCCTGGACAGCACAGCTTCTACATGTTCCGTGGAGAGGGTGAAGTGGTCCATCTTCTCAAAGCCAGGTTCGGGCCGGTCCTCGCCCAAGGAGCTCTTGGCTGCGTCTTTGGTCTGTGAGATGAGCTTCTTGGAGGCCACCAGGAACTCTGCGGCGCTGTTCTGCTCCAGGGCCCTCACAGCGGAGTCGGTGAGCTCGGTGCTGGCCTGTAGCCTCTCTCCGTACCTCTGGGCCAGAGCCCTGAGTGCAGACACTTTGTCATCTTGCTCTTTACTGATCTGTTCCAGGAGCACGGCCTTCCTGTCCTCCAGAACGGCGTACAGGAGGTCAAAGCGCTCGGCCAGGTTCTGCTTGGCACGCTGGGCATTGTCTTGTACCACGCGGCATGCCTCATCCATCTGGTTCAGCAGGGCCTGGAGGCGAGCGTTGCTGGCCACCAGGGTGTCAATGGCATTGCTCAGCTCTCCTTTCTGGGTCTGGTAAATAGAAGCTAAGGGGGCCACCTCACAGTCCTTGTGCTGCCCAAACACCTTACACATGGAGCATGTGGGCACCTGGCAGGTCACACAGTAGATGTTGATCTTCTCGTCTTCATGCTCTTGGCACATGAGCTCCTTAGACTCTTTGGGCTTCAGGTTGGTTTCTGTGTTTCCGCTGCCATTGCCCTCCTGCTGCTGTTTGTAGATGTCGATGATATTTTCCACCAGAAGGTTTCTCTGAAGGCCATGCACCCCGTGTCTGTCCAGCACTACCTCAAAGCGGCAAGTAGGGCATCTGAAGACTCCTCCGGAGAAGCGGTAGGGGTTTCGGGAGTCGTACAGGTCGCTGGCACAGCTCCGGCATAGATTGTGTTGGCAAGGAAGGATGACCACAGGTTTGGTGAACATGTCTAGGCAGATGGGACAACTCAGCTGCTTCTCCAGACTGTCCATGGGGCTGGGGGGCCTCACGATGGAGCCTGATCTCTGGACGTCCATGGTGGTAAGTGGGTCCGGTTTGTCCTCTGTCGCTGGTCGGTTTGTGAATGTCCACAAGTGAAAAGTGCTGGGCTCTTTGTCTCCTCTGGGTTGAGTGAGTTCTATAAATAGAAGGCTATGCTGGGGGCTGATCCTTTAGGGCATGCTAGTGCTCAAATGCTCAAAGTGGTTCTGGGTGAGAGCTAGCAACTCAGAGTTTTATACTGGCCTCACAGCTGTGACACCCGAGCTGCGCCCGACCAAGGGGCACATTCCTGCAGCCGCTGTTCACAGAAGCCCCCTCCTGCAGTCACATGTCCAGAGGGGCTGTGGACCATGAAACCTGCAGAACTGTGAGGGACAAACAGGTCCATGTGACCTGAGAGTCCACCTGAGGCAGCGCAGACAGTAAACAACCCAGTGTCATAGTGATGCAACGCTGTTTATGCGGCCCTCCTTCTAGTAACTTGTTTTTATTTACTTACCATCATGTTCATGTCATGGGTTTACCACAGGCGAACAGCTATTGAGTAAAGACACAATATAGCAAGAACATCAATATACCCTCTGTGCAATGCTATATAGGACAGTTGCATTACTGTAAGTTTTGCTTTACTTTATTTGTCAAATAAAGCTCTCTAAACAACTCTGCCTTTTTCAGACATATTTTGTAACAACTTGAGAAACGGCCCATTATAAAATTTTACCTAAAATGTAAATATAGATATAGATATATAAATTAATGACATAATTTTTCGTGTCACTATGTCTTGCTTAACTGAAATGGAAATTCTGAATGCACTCCACGGTGTGACCCTGAGCGTCAGAGGCTTCAGTAGTAAACATAGGCTATTCTTACACTGTTTCACAACTGCCTTTTCCCCAGAACCATCTGCAAACTTGTGCTTTTGAAAGTCCCTGGAAACATCTCATTGTAACTTTAAAACTACAGTCAACATGCTATATTTACATTTTTTCATCTGATCAGACAAAACAAACTTCACTCACTTTGAATGTCAATTTGATGCTCTGAGTCACTGTTTTAATACTACAAACTAGGGCTGGGCGATATGGATCAAAAAATATATCTCAATATATTTTGCTATATCTCGATATACGATATATATCTCGATATATGTTCAAGAAAAAATAACCCCCTAAAACTGAAAACTGCAAAAACAAATCTGCCAAATTCCAAAAGGTCCTTTTTTTTTTTTTATTGAAGTGTAAGAGGTCGGCAGTTCATATTGGAACATTTAAGATTACAAACAACCCTAATTACATAAATAATAATTTAACTGTAAAATAAAATAAATAAAACATATTTTCTTCTTTTCATTCATAAATAAAACTGAACACAAGCTCATCTTTGCATTAACTCTGTTATCCAGACCAGAACCAGAACCATGAGCTCCTATAGCAGAGGAAGTTCAGGATGTTCCTTATTTTAACAGATCAATGTTCCTCACCAGCAGTAAGGAGCTCTGAGGTTTCCCACAATCCACTGCAGATCAAACCCAACGTTTCCAAACACTATTGTACAAGTTACACTGCAGCAGATTATTCATTAAAATCTTCTGCATAAATAAACTTTACAATATATAAAGCATAACGACTATAGAGCCACATCAGCCCGTTTGCGATAATAATGTGTTTATTGCAATTTTGCGCACGTGTGTTTACATTTTACAGAAACGAAACTTAAGCGCATGGCTCATTTGCATAAACAGCGCACTTCTCACGCAGCTCAGCTCGTTAAGCTTCTTTTGGGCTAAAGGACGCGACTCGGTGGAATATGAGGATGTGCTGCTGATGGTTTTGTCTGTAAATGGTGGAAAAGATTCGTGGTGCTTGAAGCTTTTCACTGGCACCAACTTTCGGTGTTCACGGTGGTAGTGAGGAGTGAATGAGACACAGGCGAAGCGGCGAAATCTAAATTGAATATAAGCATTATATTGATATATACGATATGTCAGAATTCATATCGAGTTTAAAAACTATCTCGATATATTTAAAATATCAATATATCGCCCACCCCTACTACAAACTCCTGAAACTAACCAACTATTCAGCACACTCATGGATGATGAAACTCTCGGACAAGAATAAATAAAGTGCAAGAATAAAATTGCAAATATTATGCATGAAACTGGTGGCTGAAAATGAATAAAATTTGTGTAATTGAAAATACAATTTTTCTACTGCAGTGCTTAAATGAATTTTAGATTAAAGTTTTTGCGTTGGGGTAAAATTAACACACTGACTTGATTATACTTTGAATAACTTTTTTGCCTTTATAATACTATAACAATGCAGTAAGTTCCTGTCATATTTCCTGCTTTTTAATGCCAATGTGAGACTCGAATTCAGTAATAAATACCACAAACTTACCTCAAAACTAACCAATTATTGCACAGGGCAGGAGGATGGACATTTTACATTTTAAGAATAAAAATGGAAATATCACAAAAAGATATTTGCAGTTGCTTTACAGAAAATGAAAAAACTGTGTAATTGGATGTACCAAAGTTTGATTTAACTTTATTTATACTACCCCATTTAATTTCCGGTAGTAATGAGGGTTTAAAAATATACATACACATGATTGCTATTTAGTCTTAATAATATTCTAATGTAAATAAATTAGCATACTTTGCCCAAATGACTTTCCATGCTCAAAGCCTCATTACAACCATAATCACGCTAATAACATTAGCATTAGGTGAGAGCAGGGCAGTGTGTTACCTCGTAGGGCCTCCATCACTGGGAGGATGTTCTCTGACCACTGATGAGCTGCAATGGCTGTGTAAATCCCTGGGAAGTCTCTCTGCCAAATGTGCTGGCCCACTGCCCAGATGGCCGCCAGTTCTGGGTTAGCCTGACCACAGCAACAGGCAAAATCTCAGCATCTTTCAGTGTTATGAATCAGAGTTAAACAAAAGTGTGGACAAAAACAAGCTTACAGCCATTAATAAACACAGTCAATACTAGAAATGTACAAAGACTGTCAAAGTCACACACATCTGTAAATTGTGATATTATATATTTAAAAGAACGGGTATGGGCTAGAACAATTTGGAGAGAAATTTGATAAAATGAAAATCACAAGACTGTCTGATGCCGCCATGAATTGGACTTCTATGGACACATGACAGACATATTTTTAAAACTATGATTCTGTTCTGAGTGCGTACTGTAAACAACTTCAATATTGCATTGACAGTTGAGAGAAGACTGAAATATGAACTGATAAACTAATACAAGCCAATACTTGTCTAGTATGAATGTGGCGTGTGCGTGAGTGATGGCGGTGGTTGGAGGGGCCGTTGGCACAGATTGGCAGCCGCTCTTCCGTCAGTCTGCTCCAAGGCAGCTGTGGCAACAATAGTAGCTTACCACCACCGGGTATGGAGTGAATGAATAATGCGCTGTAAAGCGTCTTTGTGACATAAGTCTGTGAAAAGCGCTATAATAATATATATAATATATAATAAAAACTTACTTACAAGGGTCCCATGCATTTCAGAACATGTTCATAGAAGCGCATGTTATAAATAAAAGACAGAATTTCTTCTTTGCAGAGGACTTTCTATTATCTAACAAGTGCAGCCTTTGCGATTGTCAACTCAAATTGTGATTCTGAATCAATTGCAGTGTAATTTGCAGCCCCAGTATAATCTGTATTTGTTATAATATTACAGTTTATACTTTTTAATGGTTTTATTGTTTGTATTTTGTTTAAGATTCCACTGCAAACATTACACACTGGTTGCGATGACATGCACACTCAAAATCTGATTAAATCTGAGTTTTAGAGTAAAGGGATTATTAAACAGTAAAATCATCTGATTTCTTTGTGATCATGGTCCCTCTGATTACTGACATCAATTTGTGCAGTTCGCATGTCCTTTAAGTCATTTTGAACATCTAGAAATCAGATATTCTTTAGATTTTGGAGAGCTTGTAACTGCAGCCATTTTCTTGTCATCTGCTTATTAAGAGCTGTCTTAACATGTTGATACTAATCCTCCAAACTACTTAGCCGACTGCCAAGTATTGTGTTAATGCTATGGCTTCCAATTGTGGGAAGGCAAATCATTTTAATACTAAGGTTGTCAAAATAACAAAAGCAGGCTTAGTCAGATTTTTTTATTTACAAAAAAGACTTACTGATTTTATTGCTTGAGGAATCCTTTTCCAGAGGTACCTTGCATTATTCCTGTAAAACAATAAATGGGTGTTAAATTGCGATGAACACTTGATTTGAACAGATAAGATTATCCATAACATAGGTCAACTACCTTTAATGAGGTGCCTAGCTTTTGAATTTTAGGACTACAATTTATTAAGTATACTCTTTCAATACAATCACAGTCATGAATGAATTATGAGCTGTCCTAACTGTTTGAATCCAGTTGGTTCCAGTTACATCTCTTGAGCAATACCGTATGTAGCCCATCTCCAAGAAAGCTTTTATTGTTGACCTTGTGTGCTCCTGTCCTGTAATGCCTCTTGCATTGGTCACATGTACCTGCATTTATCAGCTGTTTAGATTCAAGACACACTTCTCAACGGTCTATTAATATCAGATGTCTAACCAGGACAATATGCTCATTGCTCACCATTATAAATCATGACCTTAACTGCTGCTGTATCGGACACGATGACAGCCCTAATGAGCCTGCTTTTGTTTTGAATTCACAAATAAGTGTCTGCTGAAAAGTGTAATGTATTTAAATGATGCAACAGCACAGACTCACATGTCATTGTGGAGTAAATATAGAGCCAACAGCTGAGCATAGACTTGAGGTGTTGCAATGCCCCCTGGTGCCTACAAAAAGAAACACAGGCAGCATGTGAATAACTCAGGTCAGTGGGTACATTCACAAAGCCAGTAAAAATTCTGTTAGATAACTAAAGAGATCAGATAACCCAGCAATTAGATATGTTATTTTTGGTGTGTGTATGTGCACAAAAAATCTGATTAAAAACCCCTGGTGACATGTCAGTTAATCACTGTATTTTAGAGTAACAATTCTATTAGGAAGACAAAGTACAGTGAATTTTGAAATAACTATATATCTTTGCTTGGCATTTCAATAATATGATAACTCCACAAATCAGAGAATAATTACATTTTTGGTGTGCGCGTACATACTGGAGGCGATACTAGAAAATTTGCTGGATCAGATATCAGCTTCCAAATATCGGTTCAGGTGACATCCTATTTGGTCATATAAACTGTAATAAGACTATTTACTGATCATAGTTAGCATAGAAAGTTGAATAATGCTTGAACTTTTTTAATACAAAGCTATTCTGTAGTTGCTTGAGAGATAAATAACAGCTACATAACACGTTTGGATCAAGTTTGTCTTATCTTATTTTATTTTTAAGGAAATAAATGCAGGTTTCACTCTTGGCACTGGTATCGGTTTTTACTGGCAGATACTTAAAGTTAGAGTATTAAAATCAACATCAAACCTAAAAAAAAAAAAAGATCGATGCATACCTACAACTAAATACTAAAGTGTTTCTGTCTTCTGTTTAATTAATGGAGCTTGTGATTTCTTTTTTAACAATACAGTAGTGCAGATTTAGAATAGTTTTTGTAGTACAAATCTGCAGTATTTCTGTCATAAATTTGTTTCAATATTATTGTTAATTGTCAACATATAATTCGACAATATGTAAAAATGTGTTATTGTTACAGGACTAATGTTAATGTCAAATAGTCAAATTTTTGCCTCCAAAGTAAAAACAAAAAACAAAACAAAACAAAAAACCATAGCTGACAAAAATGGAAAATGTAACATAGAAGTAGTTGGCTATAGATAATCAGTGCTTTTTGATTTGACAGATGCAATAAATAACATTTACATCTCAAAAATGTAATAAAATAAAATTATTAAATTAAAATATCATCACTGTGCCACAATAGTTTCAGTATAAACAATGGGAAATGCATTAATATCAAGTTTATTGTACAAGAATATAACTTTTACTGTCAAACTACTACACATCTAGCTACGCTTTGCAAAGTCATTGATTGAGCTTGCGTTCATACAAGTTAATAAACGTGTAATCTGTAGTACAGATGGTATCAAATCAAAGTAAAACCAATGGTAGGGAAGTAATTGCTGTCATTAGAGTACTATCCACAAATCCAGCAATTATAACTTTGCTTAAAATTAACCCTACATAATTGGTTTATGGTATGTTATGGTTAAGCTCATATAGCCGCTCAAGCTAGCTACTATTTCATTATATTTTGCATTTCTGAGGGCAGATCTTGCAATAAGTTGTAAATTGAACGATTTCCTATTAGAAATAAGTATTTAGAAGGGACTACATAAAATACAAATCCATAATAGTCCAGAAATGTTCAATAATGACAGAGTTTTAAGCATTAGCAGGCTAGCGCTAGCTGTCATAACATCAGCTAAGAACAGAGACGCACGGGCCGATAACAAAGCCAAACAAAGTCCCGACAGTAAATGCATATAATCCTCGCTCTCGGCTCTCACCTCGAGTTCCTGGGCTTCACATTGCTCCAGTAATTTCTCATAGTTTTCCTCCATGATCACAGCTGTAGGCATGATGATGATGCCCAGCCGCTGCACAGAGCCTCCTCTTCCGTCAGCGAAAGGCAAAGCAGCGCCTCAAAACTGGTGCTTCCCTCTAGTGGACGGAAAAGGTATAGCTTCACACACCACCCCACTGTTTTTCTATTACAACCAGCCTTTTCACTGTAACTCGGAATGACAAAGGTAGACTGGTTCAAAAACATGACCATTAACAATGATTTATCTCTAAATAGGTTGCTTCAATTTGTAGGGTTATTAGTTCTACATCAGCTAGACCATTTTTGTAGCAATTATTATGTTTGCGAGGATCACATTTAGAATTGCTAGGCCTGCCACGATAATTATAGTGTTCACAGCTTCATACTAAACCAGTCGACAGACATGACACGGATTACGATAAGAGTTTGAAATTCATCTGTTTTTGCTTTGCACTTAATCCTTTGTGACAATCGGAACAATAGAGCAAAACCTGCACATTTTCACTGAGACCTTTCTGTGAGATGCAGGTTGAAGTTTCCAGGAGAGACCTCACAACGCCTGGAAACTCTTATATGAACAGAAACAGCAGAAGTTTGTGAAAGCAAACAGAGCACAGCAGCCTCTGCCGAAACTGCTCAGGAAAAAAGAAAAATCCCTGCAATTACAATGACACTGAGGAAAGGTCCAATGTCACAGTTCCGAAGCCCAAAATCGCTCACCTCAATGACCATGTGACTCAAATAGAGCTTGGCCAACCAGGGGACAGCTTCTATCACGGTACGGTCACCATCACTGGAGAAGTCTACTCCACCAGAAGATGTTTTGAGTGCTTCTTCTGAGACTGCGGAAGAGACAACAGCAGCAAATGTAAACAAAGCCCAAGAAATTTCTGGAGAAGTTGCAGAGGTCATTTCACTTGAGAAAGACGGTGAGATGACTGAAGCGGACCCAGAAGAAGACACCACAAGCAACAGGTGAAAATACAGGACCTCACAATAGTTCAGTCATTCAGACAACTGAAAATACTGGGACAAATCAACACTGGCAGAACTTGATCCGAGTCTCAGAGTGACAGAAGTTCCCCAGTTTGATAAGGACATTAAGACAAGCATTTTGAAAGATTTTTGGTCAATATTTATACCATGTAAAATGTAATGCCCGAAAGATGACTAATGCCTTTTTAACGCAGCCCTTGCTCAGCAGAAGGAGCAAGGACAGTCAGAGGCACTGAGTAATACATTTTTGATGATATGTGCTATTATGCAATCTGCAGAAAAAAATCTTAATAATCTTACCACTTATTATTATGTTATTATACACTACTGATACATCGTAGGCTACTGATGTTATATATCATAGACACACATATGACAGCACCCTATTCAATCTCTTGACTTGGCGCTTCACACGTGTTCTCTCATTTGTGCAGTACAGATCATTACACTGTTAAATATTCTGTACTACCTTGATGCTTGTGTCATGTGATCAATAATTCAGGCTTTGTCGAGGAGTTGAGTAATGGAGCAGATCAGAGCCATGCAAAGCAGTTTAGAGTTACAGCTTAAAGAGAATTACAAAGACACATAAATCAGACATTAGCCCCATATCATACACAAAGTAATTACATGGTTGGTGGTACACAGTAAGTTCCAGAAGGACGGTGTGAAAATAAAGTTTAGGAAGTTGTAGCCTAATTAAAGTTATAAAATGAGTCATACTTATATTATAGGGTTAGAAAAATGACAACAAAAAAGGAAAAAAAAAACAGGTTAGTTGACATGTCGGCAATAACTTTAAAAACTAATTTGTCTAATTTCAATGAATAAAATAATGAAAAAAATTTAAAAAAAATTATAACTTATGTTACCATGACAACCAGTACTATGTCATCACTTCTGTTAATCTTGAGCCACCTATACAGCACTACCCATAGATGACACTGTTATATATCAAGTCTTTAAAGATCCGATATTATGCAATATGGTTATGTGGTTTGTTTCATTCACACATGTTTGAATAAATTGATTATTATTATTTATCTGTCTACATCTCCAAAGCTGAAAATGCTCTGTTCCACCTTGTGATGTCAAGAAGTGGTAGTTTTCAAGTTTTACCTTTTGTTCAGTAAAGATTAGCAATTCCAGGGCTGAAATCATCCAAATGATTTTATTGAAAGTGTATGGGGTTTAAAAACACTGTGGAACACTTCATGTATTACCACATGACATGACAAGGTAGAACAGATGGTCTCCTGTTTGAGAGAAGAACTCAGCCTAAATATGCAGGGTTTGTGTGTTAAAAATGTGTGAATGAAACAACACACATTTCCAGATATGTTTTTCATGAGGAAACATTAAAACATAGCATAAAATCAGAAAATAGCATAATTATGGGCGCTTTAACTTAAATAAAAATATATAAATAAATAAACCTGGTACATGGCCCTTTATTTATTTATTTTTGTCAATCTGTTTACCACCTTATCGTGGTGGAGGGGTTTGAGTGCCGAATGATCCCGGGAGCTATGTTGTCGGGGCTTCATGCCCCTGGTAGGGTCACCCAAGGCAAACAGGTCCGGGGGGACGGGTCAGACGAAGAACGGTTCAGAAGCCCCTATGATGAGTGTACGAGCAAGGCCAGTTACGTCGCCCGGATTGGCGTCACCGGGGCCTCACCCTGGAGCCAGGCCTGGGGTGGGTGCTCGCCAGCGAGCGCCTGGTGGCCGAGCCTCCCCCCACGGGGCTCGGCCGGGCTCAGCCCGAAGGAGCGACGTGGGGCCGTCCTCACGTGGGCCCACCACCCGCAGGAGGATCCATATGGGGCCGGTGCAGAGAGATCTGGGCAGCAGTCGACGGCGGGGGCCTCGGCGACCGGATCTCCGGACATGGAGACTAGCTCTGGGGACATGGAATGTCACCTCGCTGGGGGGAAGGAGCCTGAGCTTGTGCGGGAGGTTGAGCGTTACCGACTAGATATAGTCGGCCTCACCTCCACGCACAGTTTGGGCTCTGGAACCCAACTCCTTGAGAGGGGCTGGACTCTCCATTTCTCTGGCGTTGGCCGCGGGGAGCGGCGGCGGGCTGGTGTGGGCCTGCTCATTGCCCCACAGCTCAGCCGCTGTGTGTTGGAGTTCACCCCGGTGAACGAGAGGGTCGCGTCCCTGCGCCTTCGGGTCGGGGACAGGTCTCTCACTGTGGTGTCGGCCTACGGGCCGAACAGCAGTGCTGAGTACCCGGCCTTCTTGGAGTCCTTGGGAGGGGTACTAGACAGTGCACCGACCGGGGACTCCGTTGTTCTCCTGGGGGACTTCAACGCCCACGTGGGCAACGACAGTGACACTTGGAGAGGGGTGATTGGGAAGAACGGCCCTCCCCGATCTGAACCCGAGTGGTGTTTTGTTATTGGACTTCTGTGCTAGTCACAGTTTGTCCATAACAAACACCATGTTCGAGCACAAGGGTGTCCATAAGTGCACGTGGCACCAGGACACCCTAGGCCGGAGGTCGATGATCGACTTTGTCGTCGTGTCATCTGATCTCCGGCCGCGTGTCTTGGACACTCGGGTGAAGAGAGGGGCTGAGCTGTCAACTGATCACCACCTGGTCGTGAGTTGGGTTCGCTGGCGGAGGAGGAAGCCGGAAAGACCTGGCAGACCCAAGCGTGTAGTGAGGGTCTGTTGGGAACGTCTGGCGGAGCCCTCTGTCAGAGGGACCTTCAACTCGCACCTCCGGAGGACTTCTCCCGATTCCGGGGGAGGCTGGAGATATGGAGTCCGAGTGGGCTTCATTCTCGGCCTCTATTGTCAATGCAGCTGCTCGGAGCTGTGGGCGTAAGGTCTGTGGTGCCTGTCGCGGCGGCAACCCCAGAACCCGGTGGTGGACACCGGAAGTAAGGGATGCTGTCAAGCTGAAGAAGGAGTCCTATCGGGCCTTGCTGGCTCGGGGGACTCCTGAGGCAGCTGACAGGTACCGGCGGGCCAAGCGTGCTGCAGCCCGTGTGGTCGCGGAGGCAAAAACTCGGAGCTGGGAGGAGTTCGGGGAGGCCATGGAGAAGGACTATCGGACGGCCTCAAAGAGATTCTGGCAAACCGTCCGGCGCCTCAGGAGGGGAAAGCAGTTCTTCACCAACACTGTTTACAGTGCGGGGGAGAGCTGTTGACCTCGACTGGGGACGTTGTCCGGCGGTGGAAGGAATACTTTGAGGATCTCCTCAATCCCACCGTCACGTCCTCCGAGGAGGAGGCCGAGGCTGGGGACTCGGAGGCGGACTCATCCATCACCCTGGCCGAAGTCACTGAGGTGGTTGGCAAGCTCCTTGGTGGCAAGGCTCCGGGGTTGGATGAGATCCGTCCTGAGTACCTGAAGTCTCTGGATGTTGTGGGGCTGTCTTGGCTGACACGCCTCTTCAACATCGCGTGGCGGTCGGGGACAGTACCTCTGGACTGGCAAACCGGGGTGGTGGTCCTCTGTATAAGAAGGGGGACCGGAGGGTGTGTTCCAACTATAGGGGGATCACACTCCTCAGCCTTCCCGGTAAGGTCTATGCCAGGTACTGGAGAGGAGAATCCGGCCGATAGTCGAACCTCGGATTCAGGAGGAGCAGTGTGGTTTTCGTCCTGGCCGTGGAACACTGGACCAGCTCTACACTCTCCATAGGGTGCTCGAGGGTTCATGGGAGTTTGCCCAACCAGTCCACATGTGTTTTGTGGATCTGGAGAAGGCATTCGACCGTGTCCCTCGTGGCGTCCTGTGGGGGTGCTCTGGGAGTATGGGGTCCGGGGCCCTTTGCTAAGGGCTGTCCGGTCCCTGTATGACCGGAGCAGGAGCTGTGTTCGCATTGCCGGCAGTAAGTCAGACCTGTTCCCGGTGCATGTTGGACTCCGCCAGGGCTGCCCTTTGTCACCGTTCTGTTCATTGTATTTATGGACAGAATTTCTAGGCGCAGTCAGGGCCGGAGGGGGTCGGTTTGGGGACCACAGGATTTCATTTCTGCTGTTTGCAGATGATGTTGTCCTGTTGGCTTCATCGAACCAGGACCTGCAATGTGCACTGGGGCGGTTTGCAGCCGAGTGTGAAGCGGCTGGGATGAAGA